ATAGAATATAAGCTGTAATCTAAGCATCTCGATTGCGGTTTCCTTCAGGAAGTCTAACAAGGCTTCAGTTCAATATCAGCAAAATCCGCAAGTCTTCCTGCACAGTTGCTGCATGGACGGCCTTGTGTCCACACAAATCGTCGGATTCTGCAGCTTCCAAATTGCACAGAATCGAGCGCGGTCTTCACAGTTCGCTATGCCTGAAGCAGTTAAGACAAAATGTGGGAAATTTCAGGCTTACTTTCGCTGGCATCACACTGTCAATCGTATTTTATTAGAAAATTATATTATTGGACTATCGGTATCGGTATTCCGCGCTGGTGATCTGTTGCTGGGACGAAAGCATCCGGGATGCTTTTCGGTGCAGCTGTACCAACTTTTTCGATCCTGGGATGCATATCTTCAATTAACATCCCCATCGAAAAATATTTTTCCTCATATAGTATCTTAAATAACAGATATAATTCATAATTTTTGACAAATTTTCTAATTTCATATGTATGTCCCAGAAAATGAACTGTCTACTTGCTTATTAACCAATAGTACTTCTTTTAACAGTTTTTATGCATTTATGCATATTATGCAAACGCTGGATTCAAATTATAAACAAAAATGTGAATTTTACATAATTTATTAGATAGCCCTTAGATCTGACATACCTCGCTTTTGATTATCCTCTGCAATAACTTTGTCGATGACCACTTTTACACCCGCGTAGGTTTCTCGGCCGGTGGGGACGAGTTGTCGCCGATCCAGAATAAAGCCATTCCAAGCTGCAGGATCACAATAGTTTTTGAATTTGCTTTTTTTTAAACACCAAGGATACCAACGACCCAAACAACCGGTCTGGGGTTCCACAGTAGCATTGTGGGATGCTCCCATGCAGAGAGCAGCTACGTCGGGCCCTTCGATAGTGAGATGAATACCTCAGCTGTTTAATCATGGCCTGTTCAATATATCTACTCCATCTCTGTGGGCGCAACCCGAGTAGTCGTTTACTTTCTTACGGGTACCACTCGTTAACGTGCGGTGCCCAGCGGATATCTGCTAGCTGAACTCGTGGAGTTTTTTTTTCGTGAAATTCGTGGGATTTTTTTTTAAATACACTTCTCACCCTACTGACGCGGCTCTTTCAAAACTTGCGAGGGATGAGTTACAATGCAAGATTTCTGAAATTCCTAAGACTAACAAAAATAGGATGGTCGGAGTTCAACTGTGTACGAATACTTCACATGTGCCGTTTCTTTGACCCAATCAGCCGATCCTCCTGCATATGCATCTGCAATTTATGAATTAGCTTAAAAAAGAATTTTCAAATTTTTATCAAATTCGTCGCACTTCGCAAAAATTTGAGCCTTTTGATCAGAGAACAAAGGCAACATAAAAGTCAGAAGTTAGGATTTAAAGTCCAAGTGCTAAAAAGGGCTGAAATTTCTGAAATTTCACTTTATTTATTCTAATATTTATACAGTTCTTATCTACATTTGTATTGCTATTTCCGTGTGCATATTTCTTTTATTTATTTTCATTCACTTATATCTACTTTGTATTTGCTGTGTTGAAAATTCCTGAGCAACAAGCATATTTAGCAAAAGATAGCCTTAGTGCAATAATTTAGCCAAAAATGTGCACATAGAAATTTACATATGGTCTCCGGTCCAGTACCATATCTATATTGCGTACCATATAGTTTTCCCAGTGATTCAACAGCTTTCTTTGCCACTTCCTTCTATAAAAAGATCGTTTTCAAGACTGTATCAAAAAAAATTTTTTTAATAAGTTAGTGTAATTAGTAAGATTTTTCAAAACATTTCGGTGAAGGAGAGTTTTGATAAAACAAGCTGCCCACTAAAAACGCCAAGTTTAAACTACTTTTGGGGTTTGAATAGCTGCAGTTCAGCTATTTAACTGGCAATTTTTTATTTGCTTTGACCGATGCTAAATGCCCGATGGCCACCCTGCCGTTGTTTCTGACGTTGCAAACGGAACACTGAGGTACTTATGGAGCAGGTTTAGCGATTGCGCCAAGCTTTTATGAATTAAGATATTCAGGTGGACAGGCATAGTTATTGAAAACTAAACCAGCAAACAAAAATCAAAATAATTCCCACAACATTCAAAAAAGCTGCCATAAAAGCTTTCTGCTGCATGTACAAGTGGATTAGAAAGCTTACGAGTTCATCAACATCTGGTGAATATGCAAATTTTTTGTTCGAGTACGGATACACCCAGATCTGTGAATAAGTGTGTAGAGTGATGAATGCTTCCATCCGATTACTCAGCGACAGTACCGCATCACGCACAGCCCTGCAATTTTGTGCTTATTCAAGCGTTTTTATGTCACTGATGAGATGCAGAAATATTGCCCAGAGTGTCGTGAACGGAGCCCCTTTCTCAAAAATTGTTTTGGACCGGGAGGAAATCGAATCACTCCTCTTTGCATCCGGACGCAACATGTTAGCACTAACCAGCAGTTCTTGTGTTGGAGGTCATCCTGGCAGCACGTCTACTGTGTACCTGCCTTTCAAGACAAGATACATCTTTTTTTTCTTTGTAGCGATTTCTTGGCCGGCTTTTCGCGAGTTTTACGCAACAGAGAACTTGTCTTGCCTATTTGTATGCTTCTGTCCGCGTATTACGATTTACAAATCTAAAAAAGTCGTTTTGCACCCGCAGCTGGCCGTCTAGCATGCACCGCTGTTTGTTTCATAACATCTCTACACTTCATCGTGATTTAGGACTAGCAACATTCGGGGCCGAGCTAGTGGAGAATGGATATACTCCGAGGGCATCCTGAAACGTTAAGGCCCTCAAACGATTGAAGCAACTAGTAATGTTACCATCTGCATGGTAATAGCTAGTTCAAGTATAATTACTTATGCAATGTATCAACTTCTTGCAAAGGTACTGCTAGAAATGATAGTTAGAAGACTAATGTGTTTTTTCACCACTTGATTTACACCTGCTGTCAGTAAACTGTTTCAGAGTTATTAAAGTTAGGCGAACAATCCAAAAAGTGAAACCGAAAGAGTTCAAGATACAGGCCTTGTTTCTGGCTCGCTGAATGCTCGTTCGCCGTGATAAATTTCGGAACAAGGCGAAAAACTGGATCCAACTTCTGCAAACAAAAAGGACTGAATTTAACTCATTTTACAGTAAAGTTTTCGTGCATACCATCTGCTCGAAACTTTCTGACAACGAGTTTCACTCATCCAATCAACTGGCTCTTATTGTGACAAGACTTACCAGCGAAATGAAAAGCGAAATTTCGGTTGAGGTCGACTCCTCTGCAGCAACGTCTTTTGCCATCTTTCCAGAAACAGTGTTCCATAGAGCCTCTGTTCTTGCGCCACAATCGCACCTTCAAGTACCCTTCAAAATGAACTGCCTCATTTACAACAGCAGAACAGCACTGTTTTCAAATATTTTCCTCATTTTTTTCCTATGTATTTAATCTGTTCTGGACATTTTTAATTGTTGGGATAGCTTGAGATATTCGTTAGTAACAAAAAAACCTGTTTAGACAGAGCCACTTTTTTTGCAAATGAAAACGAAACGGGAGGAAATCAAATTACTCGCTTTCACATTTAGACGCGATGTGCTAAACACTGCATCAAAAACACCTGCGGTTCAGGAATAACTTGAGAACACTTCTATATATCTGCTTTTAAGGGAGCATATGCTTTTTTCTTGCCTGCCTTCCCTAAGCAGCATACAAATTCGTGGCGGCTTTTTCTTTGCTGGCTATTCGAGGATTATGCGACAGGACTTCCACTCCATTTGTTCGGGCAGTTTTGGTAATAGTGGTAACTGTGAAATTTCTATGGTCATCTTGATCATAGCCATAAATATGCTCTCATTCTGTTTTCAAGCCTGGCATGAATGAATATCAGAAACACTAATGGCACAACGGTGCACAACGATCAAGCAAAAATTAATCAGAGCAATATGAGCTGTAAATGAATGCAAAAAAACTCACAGAAGGATTTCCAGGATCTGATCGTGTGTACTCATACCCATCTGGGTTCAGGCAGGGAAAGATATAGATGTCCAGTTTTTCAAAATACTCTGTTACTTTCGGATCTGTATAATATTCTTCGATAAGCTGCAACTTCCTTTAATGAACGAGTGATTTTTATGCGTTTTTGCTGTGCAGCACTATAGCAGCGCTATTGCGCTGCTACAGCCAACAAAAACGCACATTGTCGAGAGGCTGTCTGTGTGTGTGTGTGTGTTCGGAAGACGAGTGCATTTTGTCACCCACTTTCATCTCAGCAACTAGGAAAGTTGGGAGGCTGAAACTCCGGATATATGTTCCTACCTCGTGTGTCATCCTTATGTTTTAAGATCTTCCGCCATACGCGCCTAAACCCCGCTTACAGGACCCCCAAAGAAATATTTTGGCGGGAAACGATTCCGCGAACCAGGCGACGTAGAAGGCTGAAACTGTGCAGGGATATTCTCTATGCACGTGCGAGATAAAAATTTTAAACTCAGCCCTCTATTTCCCAACCACAGCCTCAAGCAGCTCCTGAACCCAAAAATCGTTAGCAATTCGGACCTGAACCGCAA